ATATTAAATACTATATTAATAATTTTTATTATAGTAATATTCAGATGAATATCCAAATTTAATTAAAATGGCAAAAGATTATTTAACAATTCCAGCAACAAGTGTACCTACTGAAAGAATTTTTTCAAGTGCAAGTAATTTAATTACTCAAAATAGAACTTGTCTTGCTATTAATACAATTTATACAGTAATGTATATATATGGTATAAATTATTTTGCTGTTGATTCAATTGTCAAAATTCTTAAAAATAATTACATCTGACTCAATTATTTTATATATTTTAATAGTGACTCAATTAATTGCATCAAATAATTGTATCAAATTGTATCAAGGATCTACCTATTTTTATCACATGTATAAGTGATTCGACAAAAAATTATATATAGTCATTCTCCCATATAGTCATCTCCCATATAATCACATCATATAAAAAACCTCTATATAATCACACCTCTTAGCTAGACTAAGCACCAAACAATTATAAAGTTACCTCTATATAGTCACAACATATATGTGTTCGTATTACCATAAAAGAAAATTTGATCGACAATACGATTTCGAATTAAATACAAATTCCAATTAATTACTATATGTTATTTAGTAATTCTACCATAATACGGTTTTTGAAAAATGGTTGAATTCAATTTCACCACATGTATAGTTACAACCCCTATATAATCACAGCTTCAGAATTTTTTACTATGCTCCCAAGAGTGTAATTATATAGGAGAATGACTGTAATAAAAATTGAAATATTATTTTCTTATTAAACAATACCTTAGTATAAAAATTTTTCTTGAAAATGAATTGACTAATATTAAAATCAGATTTTTGCCTTCAAATACAACATTTGCTCTATAATCATATGATGTCGATATAATAAATAGTTTCAAGTTTTATTATCAAAAGCTGTTCATATGCCATAAGTTACAATTGCTTGAAGAACATTGAAATCCAACAGTAGCAACTGCAATTTTGAGAACTATAATATAAAACATGCAATATATAATATACAGTATATGATATATGGAATAATGTCAATAAAAACACAATTAAAAACTACTGAAGAAAAATTAGAATTCTTCTGATATTATATCATACTATAACTATATTCAAGCAATTGAACAATTAATAGTAGAAACAAATGAGCAAAACATACTTATTCAGGAGCTAATTGATAAATTAAATAATTAAATTTGCTTAATCCTATGAATATTAATAATAATATTAGATATTTGTTTGTAATGTATATACAGTATACATATGGTAGAAATAGGTAGATCCTTGACACAATTGATGCAATTATTTGACACAATTAATTGAGTCACTATTAAAACATATAAAATAATTGAGTCAGATGCAATTATTTTTAAAGATTTTGACAATTGAGTCAATAGCAAAATAATTTACACCATATGTATAATATACAGTATATTATAAGTATTTATTGCTATTATTAATATAATCTTAAACTATAGAATTTATTATTGTCGATAATATGATAAATCAAGTGCAAGCTTTAATGACAATGAGATTATATAAGAAGTTCTTGGTTACAAATCTGCTGAGAGCAACTCTAATATGGAAGATGAAGAAAAAGATACCATCATTAAAAAAATTTTCCTTAATAAAGAAAAAGATGCTCTTAAGAAATCCTTAATATTTTTCAAACAACAAGACAATATTAACTTTAAGACAGAAGACTTGACAGCCATCAGTCATCTTATTAATTAAATTACATTATACTATCTATCTTTATCTAGACAAACATCTATTGAATTTTTTTTATAATAAGCTTGTAATCATAATTTTACTTTGTTGGATTAATTGTAAATTTTAACTGAAAATAAAGTTAATAATTACTAAAGATTAGTTTATAACATATATAATAAAATTCTATTATATTATTGTTAAATACTTCTGATTAAATAAATGTTTAATTCAACTTTGCATTAATTTGACCGATGACTCCAAAACAAAGATAATCAAATTAATGGTAGTTGATTGTATTATATATATATATATATATATATATATATATTTTCACCTAATCAAGCTATAGTTCAAGTTTATTTTGAATATGATGATCCTATACCCCAGTATAAAGATTACAGACTATGTGTAAATGTACATATAGTTGATTGTATTATATAATAAGATTAAAATAAACTTTATATATATTTGTTTAATTATATAAAAAAAAAATAATATTTATTTAAAACCTATAGATCTATAGCATAATGATAGTGTTTTATAGATTACCAGGAGCAGGTCTAGAGTTTAAACCTGCCTGGTTATAAAAATATATTACAAAAAGTCAATTAGGCTACATAAAAATAGAACTTTTGACCTTTTCGATAATTATAGGATTGCAACAGATCATAAAAAAGGAAAGAATTATATGAAGAAAGGCTTCTGATCTAATTTCAGTTAAACTCCACAACCATGCTATATAAACAATAACATATTTGGTATTACAGATTGGGCTATATACCATCTTATCCAATTCTGCTTGACTTATATATTAAAAGAAAGAAGATCAACTTCGAAGAGATTATCGATATGGTTATCAGTATATGGGAATATCATGATAAAGAAACACTATATATATTATATAAAAGTTATACTTTGCTTGATATTTATGCTTCTAGATTTGATAGCTTAAGCCAACCAAATTCTCTTGAAGTGTCTATTAGAAAATAAAAAAAGTTACACCTTATTTAATCATTTGATTCCTAGATTTGATAGCCTGTATCAATTAAGAATTACAGTTTCAAAACATTTACTAGGAAGTATATAGATATATCTTATTATCCTCTAACTCTATTCTTAAGAGATAATCGAAGATGTAAAATGAAAGATGTGATTTATAGAATACTATATAAATTTCAGTTTCAAATAATCATTATTCTTTTAAATAGTTAGATTAATAGATTAGGTGATTTAAATTAATAATAGAACTTCCACCTCTTAAATAGATTCCTTTCAAAAAATATGAACCTACGTATTTCAAAAGTGTTATTAATATTACTAGGATAATAAAGTAGGATAGACTAGTATTTAGTTATAGTCTAATATTACAGATAATATTTGATATAATTGTGATATTATATATATCAATAAATAATTGACATCTAATATTTATTCTACTATAAAAAAACAAAAAATAAAAAAAATAATATTTTCTTATTTAAAAAATAATTTATTTAGAGTTCTTAATAATATTACTTTGATATCATTTTGTTTTTGTTTTTTGAAAAGATAAAATAAAAATAACTCTTTATATTTTTATTATAATTTTAAACTTGAGACAAGATTATAATTTTTATAAAATAATATATATTTCTTTTAACTAAAAAGAGTTAAATACAAGACTCTAATAGTTTCCCATTTATGTTCTTGTCACCACCTAAAAAATATAGTAAAAAGAATTTCAAAAATTATAATTCTAATATCATTTTTTTATTATTTTTTTTTAAAGAGCAGGATAACGATCTTTTTAGTTTATTTATTATAACTTTATAATAATTACAATATTATAAAAAAAGATATATGTTTTTCTAAATATAGTAGAATTAAACGCCAGGCTCAGTGGCCCTCTATCTCTGCTCTGGGCACCCCCAAGACATATAGTAAAATGAAATTCAAAACCTATATAAAACGTCTTAAGTGGCATCTAGTTTCCTAGAGATAGTTTGATTACTTAAACACATGAAAGTGCTGCAGCCATAGTTTCACAGGTTGGCCTCCAAGTCATGAGTAGGATTAGCATCCTTGCTTTCCAAATATGGCTTGATGTACGGCAAGAGGAGTCAGTGGTGGCATTACTGCTAGAGTTTGGTTAATTATTGTTACCTTAATGCATGAAAGCACTGCAACCACATTATGCAGGTTGGCCTCCAAGTCACAAAAAGGATTTGGCATATCCACTTTTCAAGTATAGTGGAAGTGTCCAGTGGATAGAGTTGGATTGGATTTTCTTGTAGACGTTGTTACCTAACCTTACACATAAGACCTATATTGTCAAGGAGTGAGCGATTGACGTCACCAGTTCTGTTTTGGGGGTAACTAGAATCCCTAGTCTTTACGTATTGTCCTACTAGATTCTTATAAGGCGCAGCACCTAGAGATTTAGCCAATAATAGTGTGCACCGGTTTTTTAAATGTATCTAGTCTAGCCATCAACAAGTAAACAACGCTGGATTTGGTAATGATGGTCATGCCGATCTTTTGGAGGAGATAAACCATCCATCCTTTTTCTAAGAAAAAATATGGAAGAGAAAAACTTGTTAAAGCCCACTTCTTGGAAAAGGTTGCCACTTCTTATTTTCCCCTTGAGAAAATGGAATCAACTGGTTAGAGGAGTGATAAGATGGGACATGGTATTCTTGGAAAGAGAAAAAGGCCTAGAGAGGAAAAACTTCAGGAGGAAGGAAAAACCTAACTTTGGCAGGAAAGAAGGGAAAAGAGGAAGGGGAAGATATAAAAAGAGGAGATAAAAGAGAGAAGAGAGAAAAGGGAGAAGGAAATAAAAGGTTTGTAACCAAGAAAAGGGAAGGGAAAGGGGAAGAATGAAGAAAAAAATAAACAATTCAAAAAGTTTCTTAAAAAGGAAATTTTCAAGTGCAGAAGGGAGAGTGGGAAAGAGTTTTTAATTTTAATATCATTTTAATATTAGTTTAATACTTAATTTTATTATAAATTTATATAAGTAGATCATAATCTATATATTAAATTTACTATATATTGGTATTATTTCAATATCACTTTGATATCAGTTTGATACTTTTTGGAATCCTAAATTTACTATTAAAAGACTTATAATAGTATTTTTATTTATTAAACAAATATATTTAAAATTTAAATAAAAACTTTAATATTATTTTATATTAATAAATTTATGAATATTTTCTAAAAATATCCACCAAATCTTTCACGTGACAAAAATAATAGATGATAATCTTTAGAGTTAGACGAATGCTAATATTACGTTCAAGAAATGGAGCGTTTTGTAAGAAGCTATATGGTTACGGAAAATGATGCTTCCGAAGAGGCTTGTTCAATTGTTTCTTCAATTACAAGAAGTAAGATCACAACAGATACTAATGATAATTATAATAATTTGCGTCGAATTATGAAAATTTGTTGCATTATATAGGCATGCATGATGGCGAAGTATCATTACTTGCATTTATTACGCAGCTCGAGGAGTTTTTGACTAGCGAAGAATCTTCAATTCGGGCAAAAGGTACATATACGTTGTCGGTTCACGTCATTTTGAAATATTTAATAATGAATAATATCTATTAAACCAAAAGGCACAGGACTTCTATCTGCTGTCCTGAAAGAATGTCCACAAGAGCAAGTGAATGTAGCTGCTGGTACTGTAAAAAATGAACTATTTTTTGATATAATGTGCATCCACTTATATTCATCTTTATTAGCCATAATCCGATGTTATATAATTTCATGCTATGTTAACTTTTAAGAATCTCCCCATAGCAAATGTGTTGGTAGATTTCTATTGTGAAAGACTGTCCGACGTATCAAGTGTTCCAGAACTTATCCACGGATTAGTGTCTCTTCTGCAGTTCAACTCTTTTCGTGACGAGCATGCTGTCAAAATTTCAAAATCGTATGCAAGTTCCGATAAAATGATGGAGACGTTTGTGATTTGTAGTTTAACCTATATTATCATGTATATTTGTCATTAGGATTTTTGCGAGCGTAAATGTTCAGAGTCACCAGCAAACGACGCGTCACGGAGTATTTCAAATATTTGATATGATATTACAAAGTCATTTGGATGGTAAATAAGGTTTCTTTCTAATAAAGTTTAATATTGGAAATCCAGTTTTCTAATCACGTCGACTTTTCGAAGCCTTGAAGCGCTCAGAAATTGATTTCGTCGGTGGTTTCATTCATGTCATGGATGGCGAAAAAGATCCAAGGAACCTATTAATGGCATTTTCATTAGTTAAAATAATGATAAGGGAATTTGATATTTCCCAACATATAGAGGTAAGAGTTTTTTTACCTCTCGCAATTGCTTTTTATTTGACCATTAATTATTTCAACTTAACCCTCTAGTCATTGTTTGAAGTTACTTTTTGCTACTTTCCCATCACCTTTAAGCCGCCACCCGATGATCCTTATGGAATCACCGCTGATGATCTAAAAATTGCCCTCAGGTAATGGGATCGTCTACATGATTTACCTCTGAGAGCGCGATACTATGATAAACAAGATTTAAGTTTCTCTTTTTTATAGGGAGTGTTTGTCAGCAACACCACTTTTTTCTAAAAACGTAATGCCGCTATTGTTAGAAAAACTGACATCCACGTCTGGAAATGCAAAGGTATTGTCAGGCAGCTCATGTTCTTCAAATGGATCAAAGTTTAATTTAAACATTTATTCCATGTCATGTTAGAAAGATTCAATGGAAACTTTAGCAGCTTGTGCTTCTGTATACGGAATCGATGCCATTCATCCTTTTGTTGAAGATTTGTGGGAATATCTTAGAGATGAGGTATTTTAGCTATACAACATACATATTATTCGTTATAACAATTTACTTATTTTTAAAATTTAAGACGTTTAACGCGCCGGATGACTCAATTGAAGTGATTGCCCTCGAAGCAATTCGTAGCATAGTGGCAACACTGTCGGTTGGTGTGATTAAAGGGTCCGATCGCTTGCAACAATTTTTGAAAACTGCGGTATCTGAATGTATGGAAAATCTTAAAACTCCAGAACTTAAATTGTCCAGACCAAGTGGAAAGATTTTAAAATATTGTGCAATGGCATCAGGTAAGCATTTTATTACTTGACTGTTCAAAAAAGGTTTCGAAATTCTTTAGTAAGTCTATTTATATATTTTAGATCCCTCATATGACATTATTATTCTTGCGACGATGCACGGATTGTTGGATCAATATAGAAGCAGTGATCTGGCGACAGGAAAAAAGGCAATATTAGAAGTATTGATGGAATATATTGATGCTGCTCGACATCTCTATGGTTCGATTGAAGACCCACCGAATGATCAAGGTTTTTTTTTTTTTTAAAATTTTTATTTTTGTCAAACTCATTTTATTGTCGCGATTAATTTTAATTTGCTGAAAAATAAAGACATTTATTTAGACGACCAAAACGTCGTAAATCCTCTAGTGCCATATAAAGATGACCTCTTAGAGGTATTCGGTTCGGCATTATTAGAGGTCAATGAATATAGCGAATTAAGGTTGTGTGGTTTACGTGGATTATTTGATATGATCTTGCTAAGGCAATTTCTATCGGATAATGAAGTTGGGATCATTTTACAACACTTTACTCAAATCATACTGAATGAAGATGATCGGGACATCGTGTAATTATCGATTATGAATTTATTGGATCTTTCACGAGTCATTTTTTCGTTTAACATTCAAAATCTTAATTATTCGGATACCTTTTTCTCTATATTGTTAGGAAGAAGGCAGTAAATTATTTGGGAAAAGTAGCTCATCTTAAACCAAGAATTGTGTTAGAAGTGACACTTCCGACATTTATGTCTCAGCTTCCTTCTAACTATGAAACATTGAATCTCTCTAATATTCACGGAGCAAAATACATCAAGGCGCTCGAGGCATTTTCCGAAATACCAATTGAGCCGATCTTATTTGAGGCCTTGGTACCAGAAATTTTGGAAAAGTTGGATGGAATTCATTTTTGTAGGTCTTTATGATTTTGCGCTACATGTTTACAAAGATAAATTTACACAACTTATTTGCATTACCATATTTATTACACAGCACTTTCTAATTTAAACGTTGAATACGCAAGAGCCTTATTACGATCCCTTCTCTCCTTGCTTATCAAGAAGTCATCGTTAAATCACGATGATATTTCACGATATGTGAATACCCTTGTGCCTCACCTTATCGCAAAGTGTGTCGGACCAACCCTTGAGATGGATGTTTCTGCGAAATATGTTTTTTGTGATTTCGAAATTGTCAAAATTACTGCAGGAATAATTTCGATAATCACAAGGAATTTGGGTGTTAGGTGTGAATTTTGAGAGTTATGAATTTTTTTTTACCGCGGAAGCATAATAGTCTTATTCTTTAATTCTTAGTGAGCAAGCAGTATTCTTTGCACAAATTTTTGAATTATTCACCCAGGGAAATACAAGTTTTCTTCCATTTTCGGAAGTCGAAAAGAGTAAACATGTGATTCCTTTCCGACCTCTTTCGGTTAGTTTTGGTAGATGACTTCATGAGTTCATCGAAGAGCAGATATAACATTTCACTAAAAAATTGTTCATGTAGCCTGAATCCAATTCATCTCAGAAAACCTTGACCTTTTTTTTTACTTCATCCGTTTGCCATATAAGACCGGAAGTTCGTATATCAAAATTTCAAATTCTTCGAATTTCTCAACTGACTGATTCTCAATTATAGATCATTTTGCACCTTAGGTTCCATATCCTGTACCGGATATTTCTGATTTTTTGTCAGGAATAATGTCCACTTCTTTGTCATCCACCAGCGAAGAACAACAACTTTCGTTGGCTCAATTAGCCGCCTCCGTATTGAATAAGTGGAGTCAAGGTTATCATCATTAATTAATGTTCATTAATTTTGGATATCATTAATCAAAAAAATTTAGAGAAATTGCGTAAACGTGTGAATTCATTTATTCAGAAAAGGAATTGGAAGCTTTTGTACGGAAGAATGTACTTGGAGAATTGTTGGGTCACTTAACCTCTGGGTCTTTTAGAAAAGAGTCATTGAATCTATATCTTTGGGTAATTTGATTTGACAGTTTCTCTATTTTTGTTAATAACAATCTCTGAGTGAACATTCAATACTTTGATAAAATGTTTTTTTAGTTAACGAAGGCGTTAGTGCTTCGTACACACTCTCTCGGAAATGAATGTATGGACCAGATAATGAATCTGTTTGAAGATCCCGCGTTTGGAAAGCAAGCGTCCGAAGGAATTAGCGTGATTATTGGGGATAATGATATTTTGAGTAAACAAAGCTTTTCTATAATAAAAGTAAATCCACATTTTTTATGTTCATTATTTATAAGTTTCCGGTAGAATTGATGCCTACGAACTTTTATCATGATTCTAGCTTCTTTACAAGCAACGATTCTTCAATTATATCATGCCCAAGTTGATCGAAGGATTCAAAAGATCAAATAATGGTATAGTTAAAATGATTTTTGTATCGAAATGACATGGAGGGACTTAATTGAAGCCTTTAAATTTAATTAGATAATTACTTGATCGCATTATCGCATTTATTACGAAATGTACCAAAACAGATATTACTTAGCGAACTTTCTCCAGTGAGTGTTGCTTTTTTACTCCAGTCATTTCGACATATAATCATATTTATTAACTTGCTTTGTTATTTTAGTTATTTCCTTTACTCATTCAATCATTATCATTGCCTGATCCCAATCTCCAAGTATCGACAATTGATACATTCTATTTGATCGCTCTTGAAGCACCGCACATAATTTCCGAACATATCTCGACCATAATTCCGTTAATGCTATCATTTGTTCAGTCGACGAATGGAAATAGCATGGTATGTTTGAAAATAATGATTTTCACGCGTCTTTCATCTTACCATGTTTTCTTATCATGTCACTATTGCTCGGGTACAAAGAGAGTTCGTATATCCTCGTTACAATGTCTGGGCGCATTTCCTGATACGATCCCATTCGACGTGTTGTATCCCTTCAAATCAAAAGTTTTAAAGGAAATAGGAAATGCTCTGGATGATAAAAAACGGTTGGTTCGAAAAGAGGCAGTCGATTGTCGTAGCAGATGGTATGTTTGTTCTTACTTTTTTTTTGTGACGAAATCTCGGATCTTTTTTATTAACTTTTCTTTTTCAAGGTTCTTATTTACGGGACCTAAACCGAATTGATGTGGTTTACTAACCTGCGTTATTATCGTCCTACTTGATCTCCGTAAAAAGATCTGGGTGAACGTTGATTCACGCGTACTAATAAGATCCAATAACTTATTATAGTATCCACGATAATACTCTGGAATTTCGCATTATTATTTTTTGTCATTTATAGTAAATAAAATCATTTTTGAAATTATTCATAATGTTTAAAGAATTGAAATTCCAAATTTACCGTATATACTGTATTATTTATCTCACATGATACAATAAAACGATTATATACTGTATAGTAATGTACTATTTTATACAATATGCTGTATATACAACACATACACTATACACCAGAAAATTGTCGATTCTTGTTTTAATGAACAATATACAATATATCTGCTATTAATTAAAACAAATATTACGCACAGGTTAGATGGATGTTGAATAAACAAGTTTTATCCATTTTCGATTTAACGCAAATTGAATAAAAAGGTGACTTATTCCAAGTACAAATTGTGCATGGATTTACACCCACACAAAAATAATTCCGTTGGAAATTGTCCCGTAATACATACGTGCGTACGTTTAAAAAGGTCATGTCGACAGTTTTACCCAACGAATGTCTTCAGGAGATATTCAATTCTCTTGACAAAGATCTCTACACACTTCATTCGGCGATATTGGTCTCTCGTACTTGGTGTGAAAATGCTATACCTATCCTGTGGAGGAGACCTCTTCGCTACAACTCCCAAAGAACAAAACTTTACTTAATAGTTCCAATTTTCTTGTCATTCTTGTCGCCCGAGAAAAAGGGTGAACTTCAGTTGGATAATTCATGTAGCGTTAAGCTACCAACGACAAATTCATTTTACTATCCTTCGTTCATGAGACACCTTGATTTCAATAATCTTATCTTGGCTGTCACCGAATGGATTAGCAAATATCCACCGATCAGTGAGATGTCTCAACTTTATTACAAGCGAACGAAGAAGGAGATCTCGATAGATTATGTTAAGCGGAATGATCTTGTTATGGCAATCCTAAATGTCATCATTACAATATCCGAAAATATCGAAGTTCTCATGATGAACATGGACAAGAACCTCGATACCAACGTTTACGACTTCTTTAAAAATGACGCTTCGAAATTTTTTGCGACGCCAGAAGTGGTTGGTCTTTTCTCGCGGCTAGTTCACTTTGAATGCGGTGGAAATGCTTTTTTATCCGAGATTCTCTCGGAGCTATCAAATTATGCCAGAGATTTGATCTCTTTATCGTTTCGTCAAGGTGAGAGTTCGGAGGATAGACATAAAGATTTGGTAGCCCTGGTCAGATCGCAGAACAACCTAAAATGCCTAAAACTTGAATGGTTCAAGAATGAGAACACATCACATGTCCTAAAGGCTCTTTCAGGGCATACCAATTCTCTTGAAGAATTCACCATGATCAATGGATACGTGAGCGATGTTGAGGCATTAGGATTCTTGACTCGGTGTCCAAATATTGTGCAGCTTCACTTTCAGGGACAGCATTTCACGACGGAACAGATATCCCCATTATATGATGCCAAGTTTCCGAAACTCGAGTCCCTGCAATTCGTTGACTTGGAAGACCGAAGAGATTACACAAACCCGTACATCCGACTATTTCAAAACACCGGGATAACTTCAAATTTGCGAAACCTTTGCCTTCGTGTCAGGGGCGTACCTCAGCATTCAACCCTTCTTGAATGTATTTCGCATATTTGTCATAAATTTACCTCGTTTACCACTCACATAACAAGGGCCGAGGATGAAAAGAAGATTTTGTCAATCCTTCGGAATGCGAAGAATTTGGAAAGATTAGAAATATTAGCGGATGATGATGATACTAGGGAATTTCGGGAATATGATGATGCCCGAGAATTTAGGGAGTTCTTCACCATATCACATCGTCGAGAGGCCGGTAGTTTGCTATTGGAGATGGCGAAAGTCTTTCCGAGCAGTTTATGCCACCTAAATCTAACACAATTTGAAATTTGTAAAGATACCTTTGAAAGCTTCATGCAAGGGTGCGAGGTGAAACTCGAATCACTGATCTTTTCTAGCAGTAACTTTCACAACAGTCGAGAACTCATTAAAAAACTTAGCGAGAAAAAAGGTTGGAGGATAAAAGAAATCGAGTCACATGCCACTAAGGTTTCCGTGACATGGGATGAAGATTAGTGAAGTTGGCATTAATCTCGATGCAATAAGGATGCACATTTATATTATCCATTCTTTTTTTAACACCATTATCATTGAGGTTGTATATAATACACACAAGTAGACTACCGTAGATGTGTTTCTTCTCTTCAAACCCTACGTTTTTGTAAAATTCAATTCTATGCGTGATGGGTGTGTACATAATAATAGGTTCATTTTTCTATGTTCAAATTTGCGATCGCATTCATTCGACTCGTGTCGCAGGAAAGCGATGTTGTGTTGTTGGTTGATTATTTTTATTCTTATCATTATCATTATTACTATTATTATTTTCATTATTACCATTACTGTTACTACTACTATCATTCACTTTAGTGTTAGATTTCCCTCGACAATTTCAAGAATTGATTAAGGAAATAAATAAAAAAATATTTCATAATAATTATTGGTTGTCTTCAAGATGCGATGGCATGATTTCATCCATACCGAAATGAGGACCGACTTAAACATTACAACGCTGTCTGTGTGTACAACAGACGTACTGTGCGTACGTACGGTCGAAACTTAATTGTTCAAATGATTGAGAGGACTGACTTTGCGGTCCAATAATATACAGGTATGCTTATTTGCTTCGTGATTTATTGTTCTTGTATCGTTATTCTTCCTTTTTTTTTTTTCAAACACAATTCTTTCTGATTTAATACCTTTTTTTAATTGTTATTATTGGTAATCTTTAAAAATTAAAATAATCTACATACAATTCTATTTCTTTTTCGGACGGATATTGAAAAAGAGTGATTTCATAATTTAGTGATCGCGGAATCGATTGATCTTCTCAATCGATTCAGCTTAACACGGTTAATCAATAGGGAAGTTACGCTAATAATAATTCTTGGCGACGCTATCTTGAGTTTCCTCCCCCATAGAAATATTACAATCATTAGGTGGTTCACACAATGTATTTGGTATCCATCTCATCATCATCACTGTAAGTGTCCTCGCAATGCAAGTTGGACGTCTTGAGCGCCAAATTTCCTATCCACAGCTTCGCGATCGCATACATTTCTTCGGGAACTTCAACATCGAGAATCTCAAGGTTCGGACAAGACGCAGAGATAATGTTCATGATGGCTCGATCCACAATATTCAGCTTGAGAACCTCTAAATTTTCTCCAATGTTGCGAATGATTTCCGCTATTCTCATCGGTGTGATATTAATCCTATCACACAATATCTCCAGATTCTTGATGGGAAACGTTAGATATGACAAATTCAAGTCCATCATTTGCCCGTCACACTTTACAAATGCAAGCGTTCTCAACTTTTTACACCTATTTAACCAATGCAGCGATATTCTTCCAAAGATCACGTTGGTAAATCTTAGTAATGTTAATGAATGTGTCTGTGATTCCAATGCATTCACCATGGACGCTGTGACAACACTTGTGGTCTCGCTCAGAATAAACTCCTCAAGATTTCTTTGAACTCGAATGATCCCTGCTATTACGTCCGGCAAAAGTTTGTGACAATTATAATTCATATTTATCCTCATGTGTGAAATGTTGAAGCATGATGTTACCAGCTGGAATAGGAATCCCAAGGGAAATTCGGATTTCTTAAAAAGACAGTATCGATCTATACATAGCTCGAGATTTTGTACTCGGTGTAAACTACGACCATTGTCCGAGAAAGCTTTCGTTTCTGGAAACTTTCCAAGGTTCATCTCGTGACACGATAATCTAACGTTTTTCACCTTTGCCTTCTGTCGCATGAACATATGACAGATTGCGGTGCTTACTGGACGAGATATGGTCTCGTAATTCCAAAAATCTACCTTGAACACCATCCAACTGTGAATTGCATCATTCAAATAACAGAACGAAAGATCTTCCAAATATCTTCCGTATTCGAAGGCCGCACCTTTCTCCGGGATTATGAGACCATAGGAACTAAGTAAACTGAGCTCTGCGTCATCTAAACAAGAAGTATACGTTCTTATCAGGTGATGTGCGTTGAGCGTGGGTAAAGATTGTCGAAAGGGACATCGCCAAAGATGTGGAACCGCATTTCTGCACCAGACTCGGTTTATTAGGAGACATTTGTATAAGGTTGAATAGTCATACTTGAAATGACTGAATATTTCCTCAAAACAAAGATCAGGTAACGTAGCGGCCATGTTTCTGCGTTCGACTCCTTCAGAAAGCTAATTATTTTTAAAATATGTCAATCCTCTATTTTTCTCTTCGGAGGCATCATGAAATCCGTGCGCACAATTATCACATGACCAATCAATGTGTGACCTGTGATCTGACGATCAAACTATCTAAGCCAGGTAGCGCACATATCTCATGGTAACATACTAAACATACTTTAGGAAAAAAAAATGCTGGTTTGTGTAGATACCTTGTTTTTAGTGTTACAAAAGCATAAGCCGGTCACAGCCTTAATTGTTCATTGTGCTTTTAGACTAGGCTGTCAAACAAAGATGAAATAGAAACTCCCTCGTTCGCGATATCTGACCTTTCGAAATATTATCAATTCAGTTGTGATAAATTATTACGAAACATTGCAAGTGAATATAGAAAAAGGAAGAATAAGGACGGAGGAAAATTACATGCTCACACGAAGGCGTTAATTAATCGGGGCATCGAATTCGAAAAGCAAATCTTAAATAAGTTGTCTAATGTGTTTGATTGTCGGGAGATAAGTCCGTCCAAATCTCGAGACTTCTTAAGGAATTCTCGGACCGGGCAAGTTTTTTACCAATTGAAAGTGAAGGTACCCGAGGAGTTATATTGTGACCTGGGTATCGTGGGTATCGCGAGGTTCAAACATTTCGTGCCCGATTTCATCAAAGTAGTGGAAGAGGATGGTGAAAAAAAATTAATGATCTTGGATGCCAAGATCTCGAAAACTGTACGCTTTTCGCATCAGGTATTTACGTGAAATTGGGAATTCGGTTTTCACGCGTCTCTAAACACGCACGCAACATGTTGCTCACGCTGCACACATTTTATCTAGTTTCAAGTCGCGTCATACGCGTATCTACTAAATTATGTCATCGAGAAAATTCGTGGTCTATCGATATCACGCACGGGTGGCATATATCTGCCACCCTTTGAACTCCACACGTTTCGAATGGACTTCATACTTCCCAAGGTGGATCAATTTTTTCGATCCGAACTTCCCCGAATCTTATCTGCTCAATCGGTTCCGTGGCATTATAATTCTAGGTGCCGAACTTGCGAATACGTAGACGATTGCCGTATTGATGCGGAGGACTCCATGGCCATGATCCCATATTTATCCGTGGAAAAAGCGGTCGACTTGAAAATTCTTCTTCAAGATTGGAAGAATCAGCAATCCGCGTTAAGGTTATCTTAGTCGATGTGATCAAATCATTAATCGAAATTGCAAATTGACGTGATCAATACTTGTAATCTATTTCAGTGCGAACTATCTCGAAGGTTCCGCGAAGGATATTTTGGATGAAAGTGGTTGCGGTGAGGATGCCGATATTGAAGACTTGGCAAACTATTTTGACTCCCTGAAAATAGAGGATGATAAGCCTTCGGATCGAATGATTAAACAGATTACGAAGTATGACCAGCATATAAATAATTCTCCCTATATTAAGGCTCGTAAGGATAGGCAAGCTCAGGTGGGCTTCCAGATTACATTATCATTTTGCATTGTTTAAAGGGATTATTAATAAAGAAAAAAATTAAAAAGTTTGTTGGTACTCCTACGGCAACCTTTCCCCAAAAAACAAATCACAACGTGATAATTTCAATGTCAGTGGATCCTTTTTTGTTGCGTCCTTTCGCATGGGGTGTAGGCTTATACTCCGGTGATGGGAATGAGATAAAAAGTTTCTGTTACGCTGAATCCATCACGGGAAAAAAGGAGGATGAAACCCACGCTGCATTTGTTACCTTGATGGGAAATTTTATAATGCGGTTAGAGGGGATTTTCGAGTATCTTGCAAAGAAAAATTCGCGTGCCTGTGTTTTTGTTTTTTCGACCCAGGAAAAATTGGTGATTCAAAATTCTTTGCTGGAAATTGTCTTATTGGACCCTAGCACGATATCTCCTGAAATCCAAAACGCGGCCACAAGGTGTCTCTTCAACCTTTTCGAAGATTGTTCTTTGCTGTTGGCTACCAGTAAGAACACCGATGGGGATATTACAGAGATTCCAGGTGGTTGGCGGGAATTTCCGAGGTTGGTGATTTTGGAAAATGCGATTCAGGAAAATGTTGCGATGGACGTTGCTGGGTTTTACCGTTTTGAGGACGTTTGGAAACAAATGGTTAGACACACAATCGAAGATGAGGATCTCCGTAGAGACTTGGATTCTGAGATCAATGCCATTGATCTTGAGAATATTTATGCGATTTGGTCTTCTTGTAAAGTTGCCGAATATGAGATCAATAATTCACATAAATTCAGGTTGAGCTTTATTAACGCCGTTATTCAAGCATATTATGCGCTGCTCGCGAAATCGGGATATGATATCGAATCAAAGCTGCTTTTCTCTCCGCCTCCCTTCACTCTTACCGAGGTTAGAACTTTTCGACATCACTACCTGGGAAAGTTATATTTTTTCAAACAATTTGAGGCCTTTTCGCAATGCTCCCAATTGAAATCAGGAAGAATGAAAGATTTGATCCTTGGTGAGGCAGTCAGTGGCTTACGAGTGAAGCTTGAAAAATTTGTTAAAAGAGAGGGAGACGAATGGATTGCCTGCCTCGAGGTTATGAGTAGTGGCAATGAATTGAGTTTGTTGGAGTCAAAGTCTTTGAAGGAATTTATCTTAGTGGATGACACTCCTGAGGCACGTGTACTATTTATCCTTGATTTCAATAAAAAATGGTTGAACTAAAGACCATCTTATATAGGGCGTTTTGGAAGCGATTCGCTTTCCCGATATGAAATATCGTGCGGAATTTCGCAGGTACCCACTCACGATGTTATGTATACAAGAGTCGATTAACACTGTTCCTTCTAGAAAATTTATACACGTGAGAGGGAAATTCAAGAAAAGGATCGATAACACATCAACCTATAGACTTTATAGGCGATACATTGATTTCAATCTTGACAAAGTTCTAAAAACTCTGATTGAGATTGATGAGAGAGAATATGAGCGGTCCGTCTTCTTGGTAAATATATTGCCATTATTATTATTATTATTATTATTTATTTTTTTATTTTTTTATTCATGAAATATGATTACGTAATAGGACATCCTGAAGGATCCTAATACATGGGGGTCTACGTTTCCATTTGAAAGCATGAATTCAAAGGAGACTAAAAATTTGGCTTTAAAGCTACGAGATTCTTTTGGGATGTCAAGTTCACAAAAGAATATTTCAGCAAAGTTGTTGGATCGAAGGTTGCAGATCGTGTGGGGGCCACCGGTAAGGTTCACCACATATAATATTTTTGGATAAATTCATTTCTAATTAATCCAACATATTCTAACATGCGTAATAAGGGATCTGGAAAAACGCATTTTCTGTCGTTATTTTTAACATGGTACTTGACCTCGATGCGACCGAGGCCAGCCGGTAACAATAGGAACTTTATTGTCGGGATAACCGCCTTCACAAGAGCTGCAATCGATAACTTGCTGGAAAGGATTTCTAAAGTTCAAAAGGAGAAACACAGGACCAGCGAATTTACCTTGGTTCGGATGGTTAAAGATCCCAAGAAGAAAGTCGCTAATGAGGATATTAGTGATTTGAAGGCCGAGCACTTACCAAGAAAGATCGCCGATTCCAAAATTGGGATTCCGGGGAAACCCATAGTCATAGGTGGAACTGTGTGGGATTGGCATAAAGTTCGAAAAGAATGGAAAAACAAATGGGCGGGGTGTGACATCCTGATCATTGACGAAGGATCTCAAGTATGCATAAAAGAATAGTGCAAACCTTTGATAAATTTGTATTAACTCTAAAGTAAATTGTGTAGCTATTGGTATCAGATGCAAGCATTGTGTTAGAATGTTTAAATCCAATTGAAGGAAGACTGATTGTTGCCGGTGATCACATGGTAAACTACATTCGTTTTCATTTTCTTATTTCTAAATGTTACATACGGATTAACAATTTTGATTATTTGTAGCAACTTGGTCCGATTATACAAAATTCATACCCGGTGTTCCCTAACGATCATCCTTTGATATTTGGTTCGATACAGCAATGTTTAATGAGAAGGGAGGATGGAACAGTGTTCAAAGAGATGGATTTTTTTTTGAAGAGGGGGAAAAAGTACGATTTTGGTCCTTCCACGATTCAACTCACGGATAATTGGAGAATGGTATGATAATTCCTGTTGTGCATATGAATATAATCTCCAAAATATTGAATTTCATTTTTCTTGTAGAACGAAGAATTGACCAAATTTTTTCAAAAAATTTACGGCGACGATTATATTTCGAAAAGTCCTAATTTGAAGCTAAGCTTTGAAGATCCCAAATTAAGGCATATCACCAACCCTTATGTTAGACGTGCGTTGGACCCCAATAGTGCGATAGATATGGTCAAGATTACCATGGCCAATCATGAACCACTGGCAGACTTGAGATTTCCCGCATCAGTTTTGTCTTCGGAACAATTTTTGCAGACAGAGGCAAACGTCGTAGCACAAATAGCAGTGGCTTACTTTAGTTCTCCTCAACCGGAAAAGCCCTCATTGTTTGTTGTGACTCCGCACCACAGACAGCGTCACGCCATTCGATCGAGGCTTCTGGAATACACGTCGAATCCAGACTTCAATTTAATGATAGACACAGTAGAAAAAATCCAAGGACAACAGGCAGATCTCGTTATAGCATGTTTTTGCTTTTTTGATGCTAATGAAATCGCGCGAGAATCCGAATTTCTATTTGACCGCAACAGATGGAATGTTGCGGTAAGCAGGGCAAGATGTAAAGTAATTATAATTACAACAGATGAAATGCTGTATCCGAAGAGAATGGAAGTATTTACCAACAAAAGGGCAAGTGAAGGGTGGGTATTTTTGAGCATGATCGAAAGCTGGGTAAAAAACAAAATGGGAAAAGGTAAGAATTTGGGGGTCATTGAATGGGAATTTGAGGAGGAAACGGAAGAAAACAATGTTAGTATAACCTAGAAAATAATATTTACACTGTATAGAGTAAACTTTTTATCATTATATTTGATCATTTATTTACACAAAGCCTTCCTGATCTCTCACAATTGTTCTCTTTACATAAATTGTTATCGAATTTATAAATTACTCTTAAAATCCAACATTTCACTAAAATCAATAGTAAAAAAACTTTTTTTTTTTCATAAGACTCTAAATTGTATGCGGTATTTTTAAGAAAGATAATGCACGTACGTACGTATGAAAAAATGATTAGTTCGGAATTATAATATAAAAACTTTTGCAGCACGTGCGTATCTATAATTTTCTTTAAAAAAATTTCAAGATATCAAAATACGATATAACAGATAAGAATGATGTGTTGACAAACGAAAATCTTAATAAAAAAAGAAGCACCATTCATGTAATATTAAAAAATTTGAAACTAGCAGGTTTCCAAAAATGATGAATCGCTCATTCATTCCTGATAATGGTATCTACATTAAATCAATGATTAATAGAAACGAGATCGCCTATACGGAAAATAGTGAATAATAAACAGTAATATAGGTGTATAGAGAATGTACATGTTTCTCACAGGATTTCAGGTATTGCTTAAAAGAAAAGTTATTTTTTGTTTCTATGAAAACTGTTATTAATTTCGTGTACCATTATCTCATTGCCAAGCAATCGCACAACTTTTAATATGATGGTTTTATGGTAACGTGAATCAAAGCTCTATTCCAGTTTTGTTTGCTGATCTCATAACTATGATCAAGGTTCCACCTTCGCTTCGACACACATGTGGGATATTATTTTAGTGTATGACAAATTTATTGATGAACACCAAAAGTATGCGTAAATAAATTGGAAGATTGAAACTTGGTAATTCTGGGTTAAGATTTGCTTTTTTACCGATGCATTATTCGTTTATAGCATTCCGAAGATCATTCTTTTCCGGACGTTAAAAAGGGATTTTAGTAAGCTTGAAACAAACTGCCTCAATCTTTTCCATAACTTTCCGATAAACACCTTGGGTACTATCATCTAGAGAACTTTTTTTTGCAAACAAGCGAGAATAATATGACCACTAACAACGTCAGTGGACTGCCAGGAATTCCATTCCAATACCACGCTGCCTATGACGTGAAATACCGAAACGCGGCAATCTCGATGGACTCGGATGATATGTATTTTGAAAACGAAGGCTACGGCGACGAGGAATACTCGGAACGATCCATTTATCTTTCCAACGATATGATTACCGATGAAAGTTATAATCGCAACAGGTTACAAAAGCGATCCAATGAAGATTACAGTAACGAGGAATATTCAGGGAAATTTGGTAATACGATTAACAGCGGAAGTTATAACCGGTTACAAAAATCACCAAACGGGTCTGTTGAATATCTCAAAGTGCCCAATTACCTCTCTGAAAACGCGGAAGATTATAATTATAATAGGTTGCAGAAGCCATCCTACGAATCTATTGGATTGCCTAATTCGCCTAAACACGATAGTAGAAGCGGTTTGTCGACTCCCCGAATTAATAATAGTGGTTTGCTGACTCCTCGAAGTAATTATGGTGATTTACTGAATCCCCGAGGTAATCAATATCAACTTCCCTCACCAACGCCTTCTTACGAGGAAGATGATGTCACCAAGAAATCCACAAGACAACAACCGAAACTCCTTCCGCCAACACCTAAGAGTGCCACTCCACCATCTCCAAACAAAAAGCAAAGGAAAAATTTTTCCCTCGGAAAATCATTTACTTCTCTTATCTCCGGCACCCGTCCGAAATTCCGATCATTCAATAAGAAGTCTAGTGAAGAACTTCATATTTCGGATTCAACGACAATCGTTCGCGAGGAAAAACCTTCGGACGCTTCACTACCCGCACTCACGCCATCATCGCCAATATCCCATCAACTGCCAGAATATTATTTTCTCGAAGATCATGAAAAAGACGATCGACCAGAGGAGGCTAATCCAATTGGCTCGACAGTAGAAGAATTGTGTAAATTGGTGTTAATCATGCAAAAAGGATTTCGGGAAATGGAGAACGAAATTAAGGAATTGAAGCTGGAGATACGAAAATTGAAGGGCGAACAAGTCGAGGAAATTGAAAGAGATTTTAATGGGAGGTTGAGAAGCGTAAAGAGTTTTACGCGACAGATGGAAAGGTACGGCGGTGAAGGACGGTGGTTTCATAATGATAATATATTATAATTACACATTATTATACAATCTTTTTTATAAATACAGTATTTTATAAAGTATCAAAAACATATAGATATACAACAGTACATAGGAAGTTTTTTTTTTTTTTTTTTTTTTCTCACTCAAAGGGATTGTCTGTCATGCAATGTTGATTAATCAAAATATCAATTGATTCGATCTAATGTTCACGAACAGTATTAATCATCATCCCTTCGCTGACAGATTCTGACTTCAATGTTTATATTATATAACCAGTTCAATTTTTTGTACAATTTCTTATTTTTAATTGTTTTTTGGGTTATCGTAAAAAAAAGATCGTGAGAAAATATATAATTATGCCACGTGGAATATTTTTCCTCTCATTTCTAATATTGGTCTTACTTCATATTATTTATTTCTTGCCAATAATCACTGCCCAATCTCTTGCTAAACGTTTCCCGATAGAACATTCGCCGATAATAAACTCAAAACCTAACGTTCCAAGTTTACGTGAAAAAGGAGGAGGCATCAATAAAGCAAGCGTAAATTCGCCATCAACTTCATTATCTTTACCAACGGATGCTTCGCTGACTCACCAAGGAAATGTTGCTGCGGAAGCAACCACAAAGGTAAAAACGATGGTGCATACGACAGTTTATGGGGTTAAGCCAACCGACACTGGGAAATCTTCGATGGAAGGTAAATCGTCTGGCAATAAACGTGGAAGGAGTGAGGGATCGGGAATGTTGATAGGCGTTCTAGTTGGAATTCTCATTGTCTTTTTAAAACAGTTATGAAGCTGAGGACTTTTTTAAATGTTAATAGTTAAATATTGACGACAATGTTTATTTCACATAGTATCTAATTTCAAAGTTCATTTTCTCGACACAAACCAGTGCCTGTCACATTCATAAAATTCAAATTCGTTACGTGAAATCAATTCAACTTTATATAATAAATTAGTACACAACTCATCTAACTCAAGTGTACACTATTATTCTCCCACAATTTCCCTTTGTTACTAAACTCATTTGCCCATCTTTCTAGACTTTCGCAAGTTCTCATTTGCCCACGATAGTATAACTCGGAATGATGGAAACTTGGAGTAACATAAACATATTCTAACTTCGTCCAAGTATTTAATAACAAGGGTTCGACTAATTCCGGAGTAATATCAAAGCAATCTCGAAATGTCAAGGACTCCAAGTTTCCGCATTCCGACACGAAAGATAGCGGAGGAAAGTGTCGAAAATATACTTGACAAAAGTATATGTTACGAAGCGAATGAGATTGTGTGGGAAGCGAAAATATAAAATCTGGAGTACCATCCGAATAATTGATTAAAACGAATGATTGGAGAGCAGTCTGAGACCTGATTAAGGAAGAGATGTTGTATCGTTTGGGAATACTGAAAACGTTAAACCACGTTGATGACCTTGTAAAGTCCAGTGTCATGTATTCCTATAAAAATAAGTTACTTTAAATTTTCAACCCGATCAAGTTGTATTTTTTTTTCCCGGTGACAACGAATAATACAAACCACATTGTTGCATATCCAAGAGATCCTCTCCGCCAACCCTGTTGATTCAATTGCGTCTTTTCCCAACCACAGTTTCTTAATATTGCAAAACAACGATCTGAACCTGTCTTCGCATATGAAATTCAAATTCAACCGTTCTAATTTCTCACGATAACCGGGAAATGCTTTTTTATCCACGAATTTCATTTCAAATGTCTCCAATCGTGCGCCCCTCTCTGCAAACAACTCTATCAACGCTTTTATTACCAGATCATGATATTGGCTGGAATCATGTTCATGGCACCAATCGAAAACATCTCTCAGGAAAATTTCGAACCGAAGGCTTTTCAGAAACGCTGGGTAGTCAAAAATTGGTGGTGTCGAAGGAACATTTGTGAGCTGAACGCCAGCATACGTGAGGACTTCGAGTTTTGAGGGTGAAAGGCAAGAAATATATTTATCGATGGCGCCATAGCGAACTGGCGAATGAGGTGTGAACACGGAAGACCAAATATAAGAGATTACATTTCTACACCAAAATCGATTTACCATCAAACACGAAAACAAGTCACGATATTGTTCATGAGGTCTAGATTTGGGTCGAGAATTATAGATTTCTTGAAATATCGGACAGAGAACTTCTGCAGGAAGCCTTGAAGCCATGATCTTCTCGTCTTTAACTCATGAGCATTACCCAAAAATTGGGTTTTTAAATTTATCTGGTTAGACCTTATATCCAATTGCCAAAGTCTTGGCCTAATATTACGTATTGACTGAACGTAACGATTATACTTCTACAGAGGTTGATGCAACACGAAATTTAAGCCTGATCTAAAATTGCATCAATGTTTACTACTTAAAAATAATTTACCAATAAGGCTAGACGACATATTCTCCAGAAATCTGCGTATAAGGCGCAGTTCTGCCTGCCAAGCAAATTGCTGTAAGTGTCTAAAGAAAAAATATAATATTTCTTTAACTTTATTTAAAAAAATGATTACTGCGAATGATAGATTGCAATAACCATTTCCTACTTTAGAATATTAACAAGAATTCTATGAGAAAATGATAAATAATTTAAACTTGATAATTATTTATTTCATCAAGACATCAAAATATTAAGATAATTTTTTACAATGAGGTGAGGTCCAAATATTTTTTTTATCTAAAAGAGAACAATAAAAATTTGAATCTTGTTCAGCCAATAATTGTTACTAATATATTTTTGATAGATTAAAAATATTTATCAATATTATATGAATTGAAACAAAAAATTAAAAATCTTTTAACCAACTAACAAATTTATATTAATATTATAAAATTATTAAATTTGTTAATGATACAGTATTTAATATAAAATTTGTTTATTATTTTTTAACAAACTTATTTTGATTTTTTTTATAAATCTAAAATCCAATCAAATTTTATATAACATAATTTAAAATACCTATTTATTTTTATATTCATAAAATATTATAATTTTGTAAAAAAAAATTTTAATTATTACTTTTTCATATTTCTCTTAATTATATCTCAAAATTTTTAATAAGAGTAAATTAAAGTCTACAATTTAAAAAAAATTAATAAAATAAAATATTAAAAATATTAAATAATTAATTAATAATTTTAAATACATATTGATTTCTAAAAATATTTTACTATTTTATATACACACATATATATAATTATTATTTTATTAAAATATTAAATATTAAAATTTTTATCTAAATTATTTTTTATCTATAAATATTTCTATAAACTTTATTTAAAACAATATTTTAATTTATATTGTTTAATATATAAGCTTTATATAAAAGATATACAGTATAATATATTTTTAAATATTTAATAGTAAAAAAAAAAAATCAATCAAATCTTAAAATTTATTAATTTTATTTTTTATAATTAAGTAAAAATATAATTAAAATATAAACTTTATTTTATAAACTTATTTGAAAGTTATATTATAGTATAGTAAATACCTTTTTATTTATTAAAATTATATAAAACAAATGTAATAAATTTATTTTAATAATAATTAAAATTAATTTTTACAACATATTTTTTTTTATTATATAAATTAAATAAAAAAATAATTGTTACTTATAAATAAATAAATATATATATATAAATATTAGATATATGTACTTTAATATAATTATAGAATCTGTAAAATTAATTTATATTGAAATATTAAAAAATCAGATAAATATCATTTATTAGATTTTGATTTATTATATATAATTCTAAAAAATATTTTTAAATATATTTGTAATTTTAGAATCATATATATTATATGTCTAAGAAAGCAATTTTGTTATAATAGAAATTATGGAATCTGATAAATACAATTATAAGATTTATAAAATTTGGTTATATTTGTAATTTTAGAATCACATGTGTTACATGTCTAAAAAAGCAATTTTGTTGTAACAGAGATTATAGAATCTGGAAAATATGAATTATTATAAGATCTTATAAATCCACTTAATAAAAAACTGTATATTGAAGCACCTTTCATTTCAATAATAATAATAAACAAAGAAGCAAAAAGAGATAAACAACTGATAAGTAATATAACTAATAAAGTAAACTATAATTGTTAATAATTTTTCATATTATGTAGATAAGACATATTAATGATTGAACTTAAGATCAATAACCAGATCTGTGTCTTCTTAATAACTTTGCCAAATTTATATATCTTTTTTGAGAAGAAACATATGCCCAGTATAACATGACATAAGTCAAAATGAAATGGCAGACTCATGCTTCACCATAACAATAGCATTCAAAATTAATAAAAGAATAAATAAGAAAAGTTTATAATTTAACTTAAAATGTGATTCAGCTTGGCCAGTTTTTACTCAAACTTTTTATTAATTAATTAATCGAAAGTAAAAGTTCAAATTCATCTCGCCTCCTTATTATCAATCAAAATTCATATAGATATTTACTATAGAAATTTCATTGATTTATGATGAAATTTCGTAGCATGTTCTTCGTCAATGACGGTTGCTAAAGGTTTCTTCGCTCTTTCTGGCAGCTCCGAAATCATCGATCTCTTTGATAGAAGTAAATCCTCAACGTCAAAAGAAATTAAAATATTCGGATAGAATCATAATAGGAATCTCTAGTGACCACGTAGTCAGGAGGATTTCTCCTTAATAAAATGAATCTCATACGTAATTCCTCAAATCCGTGTTCATTAACGAATATAGCATTAAATCAAAAACAAATTTATTATCCACTTCTTCCAAGTCACAAATGCTATCATAGGCATATCTAATAACGGAAACAAGACACATGAAGTTAAAACACATTTAGAAAATAATTCTTTATTACATCGGGGGCTTAGTAAACGGATTCTTTGTCGTCGGGTAGTACAATAAAAAATCGGTTTGACAATTTTTCTAGAAAAATTGTACTGACGTCAAAATTGATTGGTCAAGAAGTTCTTTTGATTCTATTAACGTCAAGTATTACTTACGATAATAGACCAATTCTTGCATTATCATTATATTTTACAAAAAGGTCAATGTAAATAGCAATAATGAGGTCCTACTAACAATAGCCTGAACGAATTCGATCTAATTATGTTAATAGAAAAATAATAGCTCGCAACGATAATATTTCTACCAGTGACATGAAACAATAGAAATATTATCAATCTAATAATAACAATGCGTCTATCTTCTCTAATTGTAAACAATGGGAATAATAAGCAATGTTTGACGGTTGTATCATCAGAACGGTGTTGTGTTTTCAATGAGACTAGGCCCGTTAAAAAATAACGTTCAAAGATCATTAACACTAAAAGCAATTTATTCAAGAGTTCGTCTTTAAATCATAGCATGCTAGAAATCATCAATGCATATATCACGTGCTAATGATCGACATCCGGTATAAAAATTTTCAACACGCATCACTATTGTTCGACACTTTTTCTCTGTTATTAGCAACAAACCCGTTTAGCCTGATAAACAATAAAATGTCAAGTTTCCCATCCACTAGTTCTGCTCCTGTACCAATCATAAGTTCTTCGCAAAATCCAACTCCTTCGTTAAACCAATCCACGCCTGCTACCTCTTCGGAATTCTTAAACTTCTTATCGAACGATCTTTCATGGTTGCTTGAGAACACTGAGGACTGTGACGTGATATTACAAATTGGTCAAGAACCAAATGTTCGTAGATTTTACGCACATATTGCATTGTTGAGGGCTAGATCAAGTTATTTCAGGCGGGCACTGTCAAAAGATTGGGCCAAATGTGAAGAGGATGGTTTGATCTTGTTTAACAAGCCTAATATTTATCCAGAAGTTTTTGAAGAAATTTTAAAGTAGGTGTATCTCAGAGATCTTTCATCGGATAAACTTGTTAAATAAAAATTTGTTCCCATTTTAACATTTACACTTTTTCATTCTTAAAACTTGTCAGGCACATATATAAAGGAACCGTAGACTTTGGTGAACAAAACGGTTCAAATTTGTTAAATCTCTTAACAGCAAGCGATGAATTGATGTTAGATCAATTTTGTAATTATATTCAAACCTTTCTGATAGAAAAAAAGTATGAATGGCTCGAGGAAAATCTCGTAGACGTTCTCCGAATCACCGAAAAATGTAATAATTGTACTGCATTGAGGAATCATTGTCTCGAGCTGATTGCCGAAAAACCTGCTTCGATTTTCAGATCAGAAGGATTTGTATCTTTAGACAAAGAATTACTCCTCTCACTGTTGAAGCGGGATGATTTAGAGATGGACGAAGTTGAAATCTGGAATCATGTCATCAAATGGGGAATAGCAAACACCATCGACCTATCAGAATTAGATAAATCAAAATGGACCGAGGAAAATTACGAGGCGTTGAGTGATACACTGAGTCAATGTATTCCATTAATTAGATTCTTCGATATATCTTCGTCGGATTTTTATGATTGGGTGAGACCTTATGATAAGATTCTACCAAGTGAATTAAACGAAGATATAGTCAGATATCACTTTAAACCCGGCAGTATGCCACAATCAATAGTACTTCCCCCGAGAGATCAAGGAATGAACTTGGATTCCTTGATTATCAAACCGATTCACGCTAGATTAATTTGCGGTTGGATAGACGGCAAGGACACATTGGGTCCAACTTATGTTAAAGCGACTTATGATTTTAGATTGTTGGTAAGAGGTACCAGGGATGGATTTGATGCTACCACATTTCACACAAAGTGTGACAGGAAAGGTGCCACAGTAGTAGTGATGAAATTAGAAGGCTCAGGAGAAATACTGGGTGGATACAATGCAGCATATTGGAGAACGGGCGCAGTGTACATTCCTTCAGATAAAAGTTTTATATTTTCGTTACGCGATGGAAAAAATTTACAGGAGGTGCGGTTAAGTAGAGTTAAGGATTCGTCATCGGCGGTATATGGTCATACTTCATATGGTCCACATTTCGGAACCGCCGATTTAAGAATGTATTCCTTATTTAATAACAGTGAAAATTGTAGCTGTCAACAAGCAAGTTATTATAAGGCAATCACTGAACATGTTAGGTTTGCTGCCGAGGAGTATGAGGTATTTCAGGTGGTTCAAAAACAGTGATGAAGAATACGAGCCGTCTTAACTGTTATACCTTAAAAAACGTACATTCAAACTATAGACCTCATATTTAAAAATTTGGGAAATTATTCTTAACACTTTTAATGTAAATAGGGTAAATGATAGATTGTCCATTTATTCGCGTTTAGAGTTTTAGAGGGCGGTATATTGACCTTTTTCGTTCTATTTCAGTGGGAGTTTGTAATCATTATTTTTTTATAAAAATGTCATTTTATGAATTAATGTCTACATAAAGTAGCATGTGATAATATTTGAATTAAAGATCAATCATGAAAATTCACTTTTTACATTTTTGCTATACAACAAATAAGGAAAATTTATTGAAGGAAATATTGAAAAGATGATGTTAACAAAATCGATAGTCAGAAAGATGAATTCCCATTTTAATAAAAAACAGATCTTGCTCGTAAACATTTACTGTTGAACCAGAAAGTAATAGTGACCGTATAATTATTTCTTTTATTATAACTTTTAAAATATATATATTAAATTTATCAAGTATTGTATAAATATTTATTGATTTTTTTTATTGATCAATTATTGATAAAAAAAATTTTTTTGAATTTAAATATCAACAAATCTTAAACTCAAAGAATTAAATTATATGAGATTAAAACTTTTTTAAGAATCAAGAATAATAAATAAAAAATTTTCAAATAAACTATTATTTTTATTTATTTATTTATTTTAATTTTGCAATTAGGTTAAAGTTCCATGTTTATTAAATTATATTGAAACATTACAACTAAGAAGACAATAGTATATGTAGTATAATCTACTTGTTTAACTTATCTATTGACAATATTAAATCTTTAAATGTAATTTATAAAAATAATATATTACTTGCCTATTATATAAAATAAATTTTTTTTATTATTTAATAAAATTATTTTTTACAAATTATTTATTTATTTTTTTTTTGAAAGAACAGATGGTTATTACATTTTATTTTTTATTATAATTTTAAACTTGCAGTCACAAGATTTATAATTCTTAACATGATATATATTTCTCATTGTCAAAAAGAAATTAATGCAAAATTTACAGTTGTAATCTATTTTTCAATACTTCTTAATACCATTCAAGAATATAAAAAAAAAAATTCAAAACCTAGCTTGTATCTTGAGTAATATCTAGCTATCTAAAAGAAACTGATTATCTAATTATATAAAAATACTATAGTTATTATATATAGATTGGCCTTCAAGTTATGATTAGAATTGATATACTTGTTTTTCAAATATAATTTGTTATGTTGTATAGCAAATAAAATATTGCTTTGCTTTAGATTTTAGTTAAAAAACTTGTTTAAATAATTAAAAACTATTTACTCAACTAAATATTATTAATAAATATTGGTCTTTTATTTAATATATCTAAAATTGGTCTTTCTAATTCTTTCTAGAACTGCTTTAAACTAATCAAATCTAATTTAAATTAGAAAAAAAACAGTTGCTTCACAGAGCACTTTATATATAAAACTGTATTATTTAAGTATTTAAATAAGACTAGACTTAAGTATAAGATAAAGAAGAAATAGAAAAGATATTTAAATATAAAATAGTAATTTATTAAAAAAATATTTAGATATAAGATAATATTAAAATTTCTTATAAGTATTGTTATTTAATTCTATATTATAATTTCAAAAATTGAAATTAAATAGACTTATATAAACTTATATAAGATTTAAAATGATTCTTATAAACTTACTGTATATAAAATTTAAAACATTATTTTTTTTTTTTTTTTTTAATCCCGCAATTAGGTTGGTGTCGTTTATTTATTAAATCATAAAGAACCATCACACGCACGAGAATACATACAAAGTACAAATTTCCCCGACCCAACTCACCCGTCTTTAGCCGAAGCCTCTAGATGCGATTTATGGGGGTGATGTAT